ACAGGCACAGGCACACACTGACACAGGCACGCACTGACATAGGCACACACTGACACAGACAGTGACACAGACACACACTGACACAGACAGTGACACAGACACATACTGAAACACGCACTGACAGACACACAGATACAGGCACACACTGACACAGACACACACTGACACAGACAGTGACACAGACACACTGACACAGACACAGGCACACACTGACACAGACAGTGACACAGACACACACTGACACAGACACAGGCACACACTGACACAGACAGTGACACAGACACACACTGACACAGACACACACTGACACAGACTGACACAGACAGTGACACAGACACACACTGACACAGACACACACTGAAACACGCATTGACAGACAGACACACAGACACAGACACACACTGACACAGACACAGATACACACACAATGACACAATCCATATTGTACCGGGACTTGTGCTTCTCATCAGTGAGAAACAGCAGTTTACTGCTTGGCGGCGGTGGGGCTGTTATTTTGATTTGATTTCATATATTAAAGACTTATTGAAAAAGCCTACTATTAAATCTCCATCCGTCCCCTCAGCAGTGAGTGAGAGGATATGAAATCAATCACATTGCTCCAGCTATGATTTTTGACCTTACGGTATTTCTAGGGCGTCAACATTCCGACACAGAAATATTGGTTGCATTTCGACACTGGAAAGGGTTGGGGGAAGGGACTTTCTATAAAATAACGTTGTTCATGATCTGATGTCTTTTTTTGGAGCTATAGACTCCTAATGTCCAAGCGGTGAATCAGTCCGATTACAATCCGATCGTGATCTATAGTATACTATTGCTGCTCCTCCTCCTGGCTCCACCTCACCTTCAATCTTTGACCTCTGCTCAACGTTGCTGTTTAGGCTGGAATCTGGAGGTAGAGAAGGAGGGTGAGGGAGAGGAGGTTGAGGGGCTCGGGAAGAGGGGGTGAGCGAGAGGTGGGATTGAGGGGGTGAGGAGTTGTGCTGGGATGGGATGGGGTTTGGAGTGTTGAGGGGGTGAAGAATTTGAGGGGGTGGGAGGGTAAGGGGTTGAGGGGGTGAGGGGGTAAGAGATTGAGGGGCAGAGGGGGTAAGAGATTGAGGGGGTGAGGGGGTAAGAGATTGAGGGGCTGAGGGGGTAAGAGATTGAGGGGGTGAGAGGATAAGAGATTGAGGGGCAGGGGGGTAAGAGATTGAGGGGCTGAGGGGGTAAGAGATTGAAGGGATGAGGTTTTGAGGCACTCAGACACCTACCTTGCTGGAGAAGGCTCCCGGGATCATCATCTTAAGCGCCTGCCTCTTGAGCTCCACCAGCCGCGTGTTACAATTCTCGCACCAAATGCCCTTGTCCTCCGAGCCGCAGGAACCGGGTGAACCAGAGCCCGGAGACGATCCAGCCACCGAACCCGGCGAGCCGCCGCCTGAGCCGGGGGAGCCGCCGAGAGACGATCCGGGAGAGCCGCCGCCGCTGCTGCTGCTGGAGCCCGGAGACGCGGTACCCGAGCCGGGCACCGAGCCGGCTCCTTCGGGGGCGGGTCGGTTCACTGTCCGGGATTCCTCGCAAGGCTGGAAGCTTCTCCTGTACCACATCTCCGGGGTGAAAGTTGCCAGTTTGGTCTGCGAATAACTCTCCGCCGTCCCCTGGGGTATCCATCAAATGATAATTAATGACAATTAACAACAGGAAGGAAATAAACGCAATATATTTGCAAAAAAAAATCAGCACTGGCGTCTGAGCGGATGCACAGTGGGGTTTGCAAACATTTGAAATAGTTTTTACAAAACAATCTCAACACTCACCACATGCTTGCGATTCCTTGCAAAAACAGCCCGCTCTTTGCTTCCAGATACAGAATTCATATCAAATCAATGATTTCTCTCGCTCTCCTGTTTTCTAGCTGAATTGATACTGTATCGCCGCTGGGTTTCCGCACAGCCAGGTTTGCAGAATGACACTGCCCCCTAATTCACTGTGACAATCAACTTCACCAACCCCTCGACCCCCTCATTGCTGCCGGGGCATTTTAGTGCAGCCCCTACCACCGCCCACCCCCAGAGTCATACATTGCCCTTCATTCCACAACTGTCCGTGTCTGCATTTCGGTTTGAGACACACACTGTTCGCTACTCCTCGTTCCTACGGAATTGTTTTCTGAGTGCAGTCCCCTGAACTCAGGGGAGGCGGCAGCGCTGCACTTAACTTGGCCACTCTTCCAGCCAGCACTCCACCCCCACCCCCTTCCAGCTGAGGGGCTCCTCCTCCTGGTGCTGGTGCCGTCTCTCTCACCGCCCCCCGCCCAGCGACTCGGGTTCAGAATGAAAATGTGCCCAACTCTGGCAGTCAGCCGTCTGGGCGGAGCTCAGCTTGGTCAGAGACCGCGCCCCCCCCCCTCCCCCCGGTCTAGCTGAACGTTTCGGTCTTGTGGGGGGGTTAGCTCGGGAAACAGGCTCTGATATTAAAGACACAGCCGCTCGGACCGGGAGGCGGACTCGGAACTGAGGGTTGGTTGTAAACAACTGACAGCCCTCATCCCAAATTGATCCTTACCTGAGAAACAGCAAGCCCCCTCTTTCATACATAGCCCTGACCAATGTTAAGATATCTTGACAGTCTAACATGCATTATCGATGTTAAGATACTTCTCAGTAAAAAAAAATACATTGCCAATGTTAAGATTCATTTTCAATATTAAAATGAATTGTCAGAGTTAGGATGCATTATTATTAAGATGCATTCCCGGGATTAAAAGGCATTCTCAGGGTTAGTATGCATTCTCGATGTTAAGATGCATTGTTAATGTTGAGGTGCATTGTTAATGTTGAGATGCGTTCTCAATGTTAAGATGCATTTTCAAAGCCAAGGTACATCCTTCATTTTAAGACACGTTGCCAACGTAAAAATGCATTCTCAACTTTAAGAATCATTCTCAATGTCACTGTCGGTGTTGAAATGCCAGGCATATCTGCAAAAGAAAAGTTTAACCGGTAAACGCGCTGATTTTCCTCCCCTTTTTTTGTGTTCGGTGATATTGCTGTGTCCTTGCAGATTCCGAGCACTGCACGTTATCAGGGAATGAGATTGGAACACCCAGTCATGGTACAGAGGTGTGTGTTATTTATATATAATTATATGAATATACTGAAAGGAGCTGGTTGAAAGTGGGGGGCGAGGGGTGCGGGTTTGTGATTGTAAATGCTCAGCGGGGCTGTTTTTGAGCAGATTGGAGCTGACCTGGGGAAGGGAGCGGGGCTGGAATGGAAAGACAAGACAAGGGGAAAAACCTGGCGCCCTCTGCTGTTTATACATTTCTGCAGCCTGATGTTCTGCTCACATTGCGATAAACCCTCATCCTCTCCGAACACGGAGAATGCAAATGTCAAACCGAAAACGTGTGCTTCAAAAACCGGTTTTATCATTGGATGAGATAACAAGGTGTAAAGCTGGATGAACACAGCAGGCCAAGCAGCATCATAGGAGCAGGAAGGCTGACGTTTCAGGCCTAGACCCTTCATCAGAAATGGGGGAGGGGAAGGGGGTTCAGAAATAAATAGGGAGAGAAGGGTAGGCGGATAGAAGTTGGATAGAGTAGAAGATAGGTGGAGAGGATGAGAGAGTTGCAGTGGGAGAGAGATCCCCTGAGGTTTGTCCGGAGGGAGGAGGGTAACTTCTTCAGGCTAGGCATCCTTAGAAGAGGCTTCGCAGTGGGGTTAAAATTGAATCAGAGATAGTAGGAACTGCAGATGCTGGAGAATCTGAGATAACAAGGTGTAGAGCTGGATGAACACAGCAGGCCTAACCCCACTGCGAAGCCTGTTCTAAGGGTGCCTAGCCTGAAGAAGTTACCCTCCTCCCTCCGGACAAACCTCAGGGGATCTCTCTCCCACTGCAACTCTCTCATCCTCTCCACCTATCTTCTCCTCTATCCATTTTCTATCCGCCTCCCCCTCTCTCCCTATTTATTTCAGAACCCCCTTCCCCTCCCCCATTTCTGATGAAGGGTCTAGGCTGGAAACGTCAGCCTTCCTGCTCCTATGATGCTGCTTGGCCTGCTGTGTTCATCCAGCTCTACACCTTGTTATCTCAGATTCTCCAGCATCTGCAGTTCCTACTATCTCTTATCATTGGATGCATTTCTTCAAAGTTTACCGAATGGAAAGGGAGAAGCAGTGCGATTGTCAAAAAAAATTGAGCGGCATGGTTCCTTATAGATTACAACTAGGCGAACACAGTCTATTGTAATGCAATGACTGAAGTGTTTAACAGATCCAAAGGAAGTGTATTGGGGCAAAGGAAGTTATTGGTTTCAAAGAAGGATCAATAATGTTATCAGTTCAGTAGAAATCTCTAAAGTGCAGATCACTTAGCAGGTTGACCAAAATCAATAAGTGCTTTCCCCTTGCTCCTAAATTAGGAACCATGTTGTATCCGGAAATGATTGTACATTCGTTTGCAGAAGGAGTCAATTATCCTCTGTGGATGAAAAGTAACCGAGTTATATCTGGCCCCAGCATCTTCAGCCTAAACCCTGGGGGATAATGGCTACGTTGGGACTAGTGGATGCATGGGGCTGCATTGCCTGTTCTCCTAAAGGACCTCTTCACCAGACTCACTGGAACATAGGGTCAAAGAATAGGCCATTCACCCTCTCCATCCTTTTCTAGCAATTAAATAACGGCTTGTCAGTACCCGAATTCTCTAATCTCTGACACCCTCAACTGACACACAAACACAACAAATCTTATTTCAGAGATAGTAGGAACTGCAGATGCTGGAGAATCTGAGATAACAAGGTGTAGAGCTGGATGAACACAGCAGGCCAAGCAGCATCAGAGGAGCAGGAAGGATGACGT